GTAAAAGCCATTATTGTCGGGGGTCACCCTTGGAGGGGTTGAAAAGGCGAAAGAGATCGGCGTCGGGGGTTGCAGGTCGTCGCCTTGCTGTGCTCAGATGCCTTCTAATGGCCTTAATGAAGTGTATACGCACCGTGTGTATGGAGTTAGAACGCGCAACGACACTAATTTTTAAGCATAATCGTACACTCAGCTTCACAACGTGTGAACGGGAGCGGTTCTCAAACCGTCTCGCGTCGCCGGATCCCGTTTCTGCGTCTTCGCGCGGAATTTTTTACGCCACGGGTGTCCACGAACGTTCCATTGAAGTTTTGGGAATACTTTGACCAGAAACTTCCCTGTAATTGGCTGTTTTTTTTTTCTTCTTCTTCCTCTTTTTCTTCTTCTTCTTCCTCCTCTTCCTCTTCTTTTCCTCCACCTTTTTCTCTCCATTATTTGTCGCCTGCCCGGTACAGGCTTTGTTAGTTTGTACGATTGTTCCATCTGTCGCTACGAATTTCCATCACGCGGAAATTTTGAACATTTAAACCTCGACGAATAATGGTAATGCTACTAGCAGGTGGTGCATTGTAGCGGCGAAATGTTTTAATGATCGATCGAAGTAGACGTTCGCGAATTCTACTCGAGGAATTTCATCAACACAAAATGGCGCGCGCGCGCGCGCTCGCCACGGGTGATACGGGTGTGTGTAACCAGCAACGGAGCCGGTAATATCTTTGAAAATGGAATGATTTTCCACAAGATAGAGCGATACACAATAGCTATGTGCAATCGTATCACGGTGGTTTCGCGTTTTCATACGGCATCGCGCACTGTTCTACTATAGCCCTAGTTTCGAGTGCTCTTTAACGATCTGCCACGACGTGGATACAATTCGAGCGTCGCGAGAGAAAAAATCGTTGCACCCTTTCAGGGAAAACAAACTACAACGCGCTTTTTTAACGATATAATTAAGTTATTGAAGGAAATACTCCTTGTCCTTCGATTAATCGGAGATTCGAGAATAGATCATGCTCCCTCCCGAAATCTTTGAGTAAAATCTTTGAAAAAGATGGGGAACAGGAAGATGGATATTTCCAAAGTACCAGAGAAACTCGAGGACCGGTCGTTTAGATTCCCTCGAATGCGGAACGAGACGATCGAGCGTAAGTAGTCCTCGATTCGTGAAGAGTGTCGTCGGACGATAACGAAACATGCCGGGATACATACCGGCGACGATCGCGAAAACAAGACGATTTAAGGTTCCATGGGACGAAGTTTACCCGCGGTTAAACGTTATGCGCCGCGATTTCGCGGAGGGCTGTGGACAGTGCAATCAGTGGAAATCAGTTACTTAGCGTCTAATGAGTCGTTGCCGTTGGGAGAGAGAGAAGGCGTCGAGAATAGGTAGTAATCTCGACGATGGAGGTTTATCACCAGGCAGATGGACTAATTGATGTCATTCACGGTATCATTAATGCCGGTGGTATCAGCGTAGCTAGTGATTTTCACAAGCGGAGAAATCTTTTCAGACCGTGCCATTTCTCCCGACTTTCCGCTCCTCAAGAACAGAGGCGAGGGACCAGGATGGAAAATGGGAAAAAGGAAGAGAGGAGGGGAAATAGAGAAAGAGAGAGAGAGAGAGAGAGAGGCGGATAGAATAGAGGGCAGAGAGAGGGTGACAGACGCGAGAACGTGTGCATGTTTGTGTATCTGTGTGTATGCAGCGGCGGGAAAGAGAGCGAGAGAGGAACGCAGACGTGTTCGTGGGTGTCGAAGGCGGGAAAAGAGGGTGTAGGAGGGGATGGAAGTATGAAGTGAGCATATTACTATTGAGAATAAGTACCTGGCTTCGAGATGGTGGCTGTGCTCAGGGGGAGAAGGTGGAACGAGGCTGAAGTAACGGCACACGGGGGTGGTACGTCGGGGGTACAAATGGGGTGGTACAATGGGCACTAATGGATCTCAAGCCGCCGCGAGAGGCGCTGCTTTTAATCTAATTGTCCTTCGTAGCCGTCGCGATCGCGATCAGTGGTATTCAACTCTGATCCCTCGTCCACCTCCCCTTAAAACATACGATTATACGCGGCGAAGAGGAAAAAAAAATAAAAGAAGCCGGAATGGAGAAGATGAACCAGATGAGGCTCGTGCGTGGGAGGGCCACCCTCCCTCTGCACTTTCGACTCTGTACAAAATTCTTTCTGCAACGAGGAAGTTTTAGAAAAAAAAAAAAATTAAAAAAAAAAAAGAAGAAAAAAGGAAACGCAGCGCCAACTTGTAATGTGGCAATTAAATTCCAACGAATAATGGACGTTTATTAAATTCCTGTAATAGACCGTTTTATTAAAAGTTCATTACACTCGGAATATTCCAAGTCCAGATGAAGAGTCCTAGCAACTCGTGATTTTTTCACGCCGGCAATGTTTCATGCGAAGCACCGCGACGCCGCGCCGCACCATCGTGCATTGCACACGGCACAAATGAAGTTTCTCGCGCGCCCTTTGTTCCCGCGTTTCATTCGTTTTTACCTTTGTGATTCGAACGCGACCGAAGAAAATATTGAGGTAAAAATTTTCCACCGATTCGACGAATATTTTGACAGTGGGGCGAGCGCAATTTCCCAAAAGAGGGGGAGAGGGAGAAAACATTCGTTCGGGTGCCGCTTGGGTGTCGTTCAACCGCTGGCCGACTATCGATACCTAAGTGCATATCGTACGGTGACAAGCATAGGTGTGAATGCTTACGAATCGACACGGTGAATGAAAGCAGGGCGAAAGTGGACCCGGAGCGTTCCTTTCTCCTTCTAGAGGTTCCATTTAGCGGAACTTTACGGCATTATGCGGCGTACTCGTTGAGCTAAAACGCAAGGGGGGAGGAATTTCGAAAGAGCACGCGAGGCGTGCTCTTTCTAATGTTGCGAATATAAAATGTCTGCAAAATATATCTCGAGCGTCGCACGTGCTCCTTCCTCTCCTTGTTACCACTTTGGCCATTCTTTTTCTAAAACACACACCACTCTGTCTTTAAGATCTTCAGACAAAGAAAAGATAAGAGTAAAGATCTTTAAGAACTTCGTTGAAAAATATCGTTCTTCTTCGCCGCGAAAGGAAACTTTGTTGAAACTTCAAAAATACAGCATCTGAAATTCACAGAAATCCAATCACTCAACCGTGAACCACAGAGATATTCTACCGTCGAGATTATTCAAAAAGATTCTGCATTAGGAACAAAAGAGGCCAGACACGAAAAGGGAAAAGCGAACGAAGAAACGAGACTGAAACATCGTAACAGAAAAGCTCGGTCAGGAAACAAACCACAACGTTTCCCGCAAACCCACGGCATTATCTGGTCGATCTTATCGAGACACGACGACGACGATCGTCCCGGTGGCGCAGGTGGCGCAATAATTACTTCCTCTCGGTGCTTTTGCTTCCCTTTACATCGGCCACCGGCTCGTTCAATAACGATAACGATAATTGTCGCGCGGCGGTGTCGTCGCTACGCGCCTCGTCCTTACCGAAGATAAATTCCTGATAAGGCGGATAAATTGGTTGGATTGTAATTGCCGTTGTGCGTGTTATAGCGACGGGATGAGCGACGTATGACGGAGAGACGGTGGCACGTGGGAAGGCTAACCGGCGAACAGAGGCGAACGGGTGGCGCGATTAAACGCCACCGTTGATGTTTACATCGAAAGAGTCCGTGGGAATCGAGCCCGCCCCGTTTGCGTAGACGAGGGCGGAGGCCGCAGCGTTGGCCAGCTGCCTGATCCAGAATTCAGGAAATCGTCGTAACGACGCCGAACAGCGAATCTTTTCACGATTAATGGCACGGAAGCGATTTTGTCGCGTGTTAACCACGTTAACTCTGTGTTCTCGCATGAAGGGAAAACTGCACAAGGGGGCTGATTTTCAGACGAAAATTACGTTCATTATCGTTGTTATTTCTGGGAGTTGTGCTCGTGATGTTAGTTTCGATCGAAAGAATCAGAGGAGGGAGCAAGCCTGATAGAGATATCGGAATTGAATTATTTATCGGTTTAACAGATAACGGAACGTATAATAGATATTGATTTTTGTTCGAGGAAAAGTATGATGGGGGCAGCGGAGAATCTGGAGAAATGACAAGTTGATAAATCTTAGTAGTGTCATATATTTCTCTCGAGATAATTAATTAGCTACATATTTACATGAAAGAAACTATACGTTATCTATATATTTATAATATATGCACGTTTGCGTATAGTACATGTATGTTACAAAAATTCTTCGCTCGCCAGTTGATCGTCTCGTGGTTTCTACGAAATCGGATCGTACTACGAGAAACTTTCTGTCCAACTGAGATTCCTTGCGTTCACCCTCTGAACTTGTTAGTACTTGTTAGTACTTTGAGAAAATGTCGCAAACGATCCGGATGATTTTGACAAAAATTACTGCTTCAAAATGTATAGTCGTTCGCGTAGTTTTTACTCGGCAAAAGGTACCAAAATCTAGCAACATCCAAAACTACGCAATCGTCAATAATTAACCATAAACCAATACCTTCGATATTGCATTTCTATTATATATCGTAATCGTTAGGCTAGAAACAATTTAATTTTAAGAAATAAAAATGACGTAATAAGATGTACCACAATTTGGGAATAACAAAAAGTACCCTGAATCGTCGACAAACCGCCAGCGGTTCCAACGTTGACACTTTCCCCGTCCTCAACTCGAAATAAACGTCTCTATCGAATAACTCGACGAACGACTAGCGTTACTCGTCTCGTTCGAAGCGTGTGACCGTAACGAAATTCCTCGAGTTCCACTCCCTCTCCCACTTCGAACCTCGGTTCTCCACTGATTTCACTTCCCCCATTGTCTATCGCCGGGAAGTCAAGGCATCGGTAAAACACACGGCGAAACCACTGGTATTTCTTCTTCGTTCTTCAGCGTCCTTCAGCCTCGCGATCCTCTTCATCTGTATTTATGTACATCGTGAATCACCGCCGCCGATAGATCTCACCCCACCTTCCGCAGTTAATTATCCACCTTGCGTAGAACTTCCTCCGCCTTCACTCTGAGCACCTCCGCGCTCTGCCTCCTGATCTCATCGTCCGACGAGGCGGAGTCCTCCTCCTTGTCGTGCTTCGAACTGAGATTCTGCGGTAGACTCTGCACGCCGAGATTCAGCGGATGTCCAGGTATGTGACTTCCGAGCGTGTGCCCGTTGACGTTGTTGTGATTGAGGGTGGAGGCCGGGTTCAAACCGACCGGCAGAACCGTGCTAAGGGACGCCAGGTTCTGCGGAAGGGGTAGGCCGATGTACTGCGACAGGATGGCGTGCAACGGGGGCAGCTTGGGCGCGCTTGCCGGCCACGGCGGTGGGAACACCGGCGGGATGAACCAGGGAAAGGCACCGGTTGGTCCTCCCGATGGATCCGCACCTGGCACACCGCCGGCGGTTTGAAGCAGACGGGCGTGAAGCG